CACCCTGGCTCCCTGCCGGGGCCCCCGACCCACTGAATCCACCCTGGACTGTCCCTCCTGATCCTCCCTGGTCTTGCCCTCCCATCCCTCCCTTGTTTGTCTTGTTGGGTCTGGCTTGGCTTCCCTCCTTCTCTCCCTTCATGTCGTCTTGCCTGTTCACCTCCCTGTCTTGTGTCTGTTGATGTTGCCTGTTTTGTTGTCTTGTAGTGTTTCTTGTCTGTCTTGTACCTTGTTGGATGTTCTCTTTAGGGACGCCAGGTGGCATCCCTTTTGGGGGGGGGCTAGTGTCAGGGTTCTGCCACTTTGGTCTTGTAAATTCTTGTTTTGGTGGCAGAGCGCTGACACTACTAATGTCTGGTCCTGTTTCTGTCTCTGTGTGCGCGCGCGCCGTTGTGGGAGTACGCAGAGTGTGCGCGCTTCTGCTTGACGCAGACGCGTGCGCTCTTGTACTCGTGTTTGTGTTTTCGTCTGTCAGCAGCGTGGTGTTTCATTCCCAGCGTCTCAGTCTTGTTGGTTTCGGTTTTGGTCGGCGCTGGGATGAAGCATGCATGCTGCATATGTGAGCGCACGGTGAGTTTTCATTCATCATGTGCTCGTGTCTTGCGTCTTTTGTCAAAGCACGTGGCTCAGTGTTTACATTGTGGTCACGTGTTTTTGTCGTGTGCTTCAGTGTTGTGTTATGTGAGCGCATGGCTTGTATTGTCTCTCTGTGTCATGCGCTCTCCCGTCTATTGTCTAGTCCCACCCTCCTTGTTAACCCATTATTAGTTAATTGTGTTCACCTGTGTGTCAATTTACTTTTTGCTTTATAATCCCCCTCATGTTTTCAGTCCTTTGCCAGTTCGTCGTCGATTGTTTCCTGTCTTGTTGTGTCCAGCCCTGTCTTGTCCTGCCAGTCTAGTCAAGTTTGTTTGTTCGTTTATTTGTTTATTAGAGTTTTCCCCCTCGGGGTTGTTTGTTTTGCCTTTTTGTTTTTATTTTATTCTTAATAAAAACCCATTATTTGCTGCACCTGAGTCCTCGCTCCCTTTTCCTAACCTCCAACTTGACACTAACCTGCCTAGTTAACCTAATTAACCTAGTTAAGCCTTTAAATGTCAATTTAAGCTGTATAGAAGTGTCTTAAAAAATATCTAGTAAAATTTAATTACTGTCATCATGACAAAGATAAAATAAATAAGTTATTAGAAATGAGTTTTTAAAACTATTATGTTTAGAAATGTGTTGAAAAAAAAATTAGGAAAAAAAAAAAAACAGGGTGGCTAATAATTCAGCGGGCTAATAATTCTGACTTCAACTGTATATTGTGCATGCAGCCCTAATTTCCACAACCAACGTGTAACTGGATTAAATTATATTATGAATATATTTACATACATAAGTGCTGAGAATGAGCACTTATTGTATTTGCAATTAAAAGACAAAATCTGCCAAATTCATGTAATAAAATGTATGTAATTAAAATGTAATGATATATAATAATTCAGTTAGGCGATTATTCAATTTGCTAAATTAAAGTTAATCTAATTTAAAACAGCGTTGGGAAACTGACAACCCAGAAAATTTTCGGCTTAGTCCCTTTATTAATGTGGGGTCGCCACAGCGCAATGAACCGCCAACTTAGCCAGCATGGTTTTACGCAGCCAATGCCGTTCCAGCCACAACCCATCTCTGGGAAACACACACACACACACTCACACTCATACACTATGGACAATTTAGCCTATACCTAATTCACCTGTACCTCATGTCTTTCGACTGTGGGGGAAACCGGAGCACCCGGAGGAAACCCACGCAAACGCAGGGAGAACATGCAAACATCAAACAGAAACGCAAACTAACCCAGCCGAGGCTCGAACCTGCAACCTTCTGCAACAGCACTACCTACTGCACCACTGCCTCACCCAACCCAGAATTTATTACATTATTTTTTGCCATCTCCAGAAATGTATATTGGGGTACGTTTTCAGAATGAGCCAATGTTGGAAGCTTAACAGTAAAATTTAGACCAGGGGTCACCAAACTTGTTCCTGGAGGGCCGATGTCCTGCAGATTTTAGCTCCATCCCTAATTAAACACACCTGAACAAGCTAATCAAGGTCTTACTAGGTAAACTTGAAACAGCCAGGCAGGTGTGTTGAGGCAAGTTAGAGCTAAACCCTGCAGGGACACCGGCCCTCCTGGACCAAGATTTGTGACCCCTGATTTAGACTATAAGTGTTTATTTTATTATTTATTATACATTTTTTTATTGAATCCATCTTGAGTTTAGGGTTATTTCTAAAACAGCTTAAAGGGTCACCAAATATCCTTGTCTTCCGCTCTCGAGCATGAAATTGGTGTTGAAGCACACTTGATCTTGGCAAGACTTCCTGTTCCTTCCTCTGGCACTTTGCACATGTCCCTGTGGACGTCCAGAGCTAATATCAAGTTTCAAATTCTGCTTCCTTTACACTTATGTCAAGCCTCACATGCCGCCGCTTTGTTTGGTACCTTATAACATTGTTTATGGTGCTGGGATATAATTGGATGGTGCGTGTGTAGGAACAGCTCGTATATCAAGGGTATAATTTAACTTGCTTGACTAGCTTGTTGGACAGAGGATTGTTTTATGTCACCGTCTGTTTCATGTCACTCAGCTCTGCTATGAATATATCCACAGGAAATGACAGAAAGAGGAAACTTTTCCATTTGACAAAAAAAGAAACATGGCTTTCATTTATTGATGTCAGTGAAAGGTTAAAGGTGCAGTAGAATGAAAATCTGGATTTAACTGGGCATGGCTGAAGAGTAAGAGTTAAGTTCATGGACATGGCATACTGTGAGCCTCAAACACCATTGTTTCCTTGTTCGGTGAAAACCAAAACAATCAGAGCAAAACACCAACTCTAGTGATCCACATGGGATCATACATATGCACACACTAGCATTGTTTGATTGGACACAATGTTTTCTGGTGAGATACAAACATTGATTTCCCCCTCCTTATTTTTAAATTGATCAAAGATTGTATTACACATATTATATTACTTATTAAACATACAAACTATTTAACATTCTATATATATGGAACTTGTGTTGTCACGATACTGGAATTCTATAACAATTAGTACTGAAACATTTGAGCACTGTTGACTGCCTGATTTGGACAGCGCTGATTTGCTATTGTGTTCACGTGCTCAATAGAAATAACTGTGATTGACCCTGATGGTTGTTTACTGAGTGTAACTACAGATACAGGGATAACACAATATGGGACTTTTATTTTGAAAACGAGAGTGACATGCAGATGAAAAAGCATAAATTTTCAGGCAGCTATGCATTTTTTTTTCAATTTAACAACATAAAAACGGTGGACCAATTGGAGCGGTTTTTAGAGCGACCTCAACTTGACTTAGAAGTGCGGTCCTCCTGCCCACCAGGTGCGCATCACCATATGCTCAGTTTTTTGTTTCACACCACATATTAGCGTGTGAGTTAAAGCGATGTTACGAAAGGAACACCCTTGCTCTATTTTTAGATGTAAGGCTCATTGGGCTCAACACAAGATCAACATTCAGCACATGGCTACAACACTAATTGGAATTATTGTTTGTAACTTTAGGTGGGTTTGCAAACGTGTACTTTTCATTGTGTCTACCTTAAAGGTTTCCATTTCTTACAGAAGCTTCCTGTGATCTTAACTAGGTGCAGCTGGAAAGTGCGAGTGCGTTGGCTCACGTATGCGTTTCTCCGTTGGAAATAAAATTACGAACTTGCCTGCAGGTCGTGCCGAAGTGCCGTTATGCAACGCCATTAATTTTAGAACTCTAAACATATGTTTCTATCAGGGTACACACAATGGCGCTTCAAGTCAGCGGCTGTTCGCGGCACCCATTCATGATTTATGATATCCATGTTTCTGCCGCGCCACAGAGCGCCATATCAATATTTTCATATTAAATGACATCCGAATGCGTGTCTGGTGTACTGTGCCGCAGCTCCTAGCGGCGCATCTGGTGCCTCAGTCAAAGTTAATTCAGTGTGCGTGGTTATTAGTCTCGGTGTACAATCTCGGAACTTTAAACTAGCACACAGTTAGCTCTAAAACTATACAAAGACAGAAATTATTTTGTACTCTCTGCTTGGTCTATGTCCGAGTCGTGCATGTACGGCTAAATGCTGATCCTCTCACTCATGTTGCTTCTCTCTGTCTGCCTGTCTGTTGCCAAACACAAAGCGGGGAAGCTCTTGGCTCTGCCCCCTTGTTACGTTGGGCGGGAAGTCGAAACTAATTTTCATGTGAAGCAACACACCCCAAAAACAGCAACCTGTGTACAACCGCCCCCCCCCTCCACCCCCCCAAAAAATTACACTTTTTAACACATTATAATAAAAAAAATCTGAACTTTGTTTTGAAGTGAACCTAAACTGGCACACTCAAAAGAACCATAATATTAATATTAAATCATAAAAAAGGGGTAGACTATGTGCCCTTTAAAACTTAACTGTTCTGATTATTTTGCATGTATTTTGCATCTGTGTAATGAGCTGCTTTGTATCAGAGGAGAGCTCATTAATATTCATGACTATTCCTAATATGGAAAAAAACAGGCTTTTCATTCTAAGGATAAATCCCGTGTTTTTAAATAAGCAAATAAACTTTTTAAAATTATTATTAAACATACCTAAGCCACATACTTACTATGTAAATATCCGTATAATTAATAATTTAGCATACTGAATCAATGCACTCCATGGCAACTATAATAAACAACACTGATTTGTAAAAATGTTTCATATTAATCTCCACACAATATGCAGTAGTTTAAACAACACTATTTGTTCAGAAAGACGTACACTGAAAAGGATGGTTATGTACCAGGACACCCAGAACGTGGTTTTGAAACCGAGCTAAATTGTTCATTACTATTGGTGATGTTGTTGCTGTGTGCAGATTGAGAATAAATGGTTAAAATGTTTCCTGACTTTCTTTTTCTGCTTTTCTGCCTTCTCTGCAGACAAGCGTGAAGGAAGGGCTTCTTCTGAAACAGACAAGCTCGTTCCAGCGTTGGAAAAAACGTTATTTCAAGCTACGAGGACGGACGCTCTACTATGCTAAGGATGCCAAGGTGACTTTTCCACCACACAGGCCTGCTGTAGTTTTCCAATTATATCTGAATCTACACTTTCACTACTACACTGTAAAAAAAAATCCAATCTATTAATCTTAAGTAACTGCTTTTGCTCACTTAATTAGTACAAAATAGTGTAAATATGTTTAATAACTTTTTACAGTGTACATTAAAGGGATAATTCACCCCAAAATCTAAATTCCGCCATCATTTACTCACCCTTTATGTGTTTCAAACCTTTAAGAGTTTCTTTCTTCTATTAAACACAAGAGAAAATATTTCGAAGAAAGCTAGAAGTATTGACTTCCATAGTATTTGATTTTCCTACTATAGAAGTCAATGGTTACAACTTTTTCAAAATGTCTCCTGTTGTGACCAAAAGAAAAAGGATACTCATAAAGGTTAAGAACCACTTGAGGGTGAGTAAATAGTGAGTACATTTTCATTTTTGGGTGAACTGTCACTTTAATCTTCTTATAATGAATCAAAGTAAGGGGCTGGTATGATTTGCTTGACCCTGGTTTCTCCCAGGACGTCTGCTACTGGGCATGCCTGAGCTGAGATGGGCTGAAAAGCTTCACATTTGGGCACCTGCAGAGCACCATGCCTTTAATGTCACTGTGTGTATGTGTGTGGTTGCACTATGGCAGGCGGGTGGCGTTTTGGCCCGCTGGCAGTATCGGGTCTCTCGTAGCCGCGTGTGCTGGAGGGTGCTTTCCGTGTGCTGGACCGGTGCCCGCCGTCCGCCGCCCGCTCTTGGCGCCAGTGGATCGGAGGAAGGCTTGGTGGCGATTCGGGTCAGCAACAACAGCGACCCACCCTTTTAATCTATCATCAATGACATTGCCGACCGCCCATCACCATGCCTGGCATTCTTCCAGACGCTCGTTCTCCTCATTGAGCGAGAAAAGTTTGTCTGCGGCAAAACCGAAGCGACATCATGCCGTTTCTTTTGCATCTGCTTGTCTGTTTACGCATCTGAAAAGGAGGATGGAGAGTCCTGGAGTCTTGTATCTTGTATGTTATTGTCCGTGTCTTAGGAGAGATGCTTTTATTAAGGAGTGGTGTAAAGGAGTGGTGTCCAAACTCAGTCCTGGAGGGCCAGTGTCCAGTGTTTAGCTCCAACTTGCTTCAACACACCTGCCAGGACGTTATTAGTATATCTAGTAAGAGCTTGAGTAACTGGTTTAGGTGTGTTGGATTAAGGTTGGAGCCAAACTCTCCAAGACAACTCCTGAGTTTGAACACACCACCTTAAAGCAAGCCTCGCATTGAAAGTCTTCGTCTTCATCCATACGTTCTCTGCTTATTCAGCTGCACTGGTTCTTGTGGTTACACAAATGTTTTGTTTTTCAATTTTTCTCCCCCAATTTTTTCTTCTTTTCGTTTTAAAATAAAAAATATTTCTAAATAAGAAAACAGCAATTTATTAAAAGTTAAACAAACTTACATTTTTGTTGTATTATTTTTATTTTTCTTATTGATTTTTTCACTATAATACTTATTTTTAATGGTTTCATTAAATTTTAATAAACAAATCAAATTATTAAATGTATTTATTTATTTTAAAAAATATACAAATATTACAATTATCATTAATAAAGAAGTAATATTATTCTATATCTTCTATAAAAGGCTCTATAACAGTGTTTCTCGACCACGTTCCTGGATGAGCTCTGCACATTTTCCATGTCTCCTTAACCAAACACACCTGATTCAGATCATCGGCTCATTAGCAGAGATAGAAAGACCTGTAATGGTTGTGACAGACAAAGGAGACATCCAAAACATGCAATTTTGGTGGTCCTCCAGGAACGTGGTTGAGAAACACTGCTCTATAAAATGCTAAACAACAAAGATTTACATTTAAAATGAAAACATGGAATAAATAATAATATTTATAATATTTGTTATATTTTGATGTCCAAACATAGATGCCTTAAAGAGTTTTGCTTTAAACACAGCTGTCTGGAAATTTCAGCTGAATCTGAAATCACCCCCTAAACCCATAGTAATAGTAAATTAAGATATAAATGACATAAAATGTATGAATTAAATGTATAAATGACATAAATCTAAATATTTAGTTGTATTACTAATAGACAGCTCACTGACAGTATAATCACAGGGTAACTAAGAAGTAAAGAAGTTCTAATCCATCTGAGGTATTCCTCAACTAGCAAAATACAAACAAAACACCAATGCTTTCTGGTGCACTGCTTTCATTCACTCTTTAAGGCAAGGCAAAACTATATACAGTTGAAGTCAAGTTATGCATGCCTGGTGTTAAAATGATGACTAGCATTACTATACAAAAGTTGACAGACAATACACTTGGAACTCTTGACACAGAAATATTTCTCATGAAACACAACAGAGAAACAATTACCCTATTCTTCACCAATAACCAACCCAAATTTTTATGCATTTTTATAATATTAACTCTTCTATTGCTGTATAAAATTAGTCGTGCCACCCTATTCTGGACTAACTGTAATTTAGCTAAGTCTTTACTTGATGAACTTGACCATACCATGGGACAGTAATCTAGATAAGAAAGAGCCATTGCCTGAACATTTTGAGAGATAAAGTACTGTGGTAAAACATTTTACACGTCTCTCTTAATAATTGATAAACCTCTTCCCATAACTATTACCATTATATCGATTTGTTTTTCCTCTACCTGTTCAATAGACACACTCATTACAGACAAATTTAATTGTGGTTTACATTTAAATTGAAAGTTGGATCCAAACAAAATACTTTAGTTTTTTGTCAAATTTAAAACCATCTCATTATTCTGTATGAACTTTACCACTAACTGTAGCTCTTCATCTAAATCAGCAGATATACATTTTTTTTTAATAATGGCACTGGTAGATATTATGTTGTATCATCTGCATGCATAACTGCCCTTACATGCTTTAAAACCAAAGGAAAATCATTGGTAAAAAAATAAAAAATCAGCAAATTCCTGAAGGCACACCACATTGCAACTCTTTCACTTCTGAATAACTTCCATTAAAAAATACACATCGCCTCCTACTAGTCAGATAACTTTTAAACCAATGCAGTTTGAGAAGTAAATTTATTACATTTTAATTTTTCAAGCAATAATTTATGATTCTGTACATCATAATCAGAGCTAAAAGCCAACAATACCGTTTCTTCTAAATTACTATCATCAATCTGTACTAAACAATCAATTATTTGTGTAAATACTCTTCCAGTTAAATGTCCTACTTGATATGCATGCTGAAAGTCAGAGAATAAATTGTTTGCCTTAAAAGTTAATTGAATTTGTTCACACACTATCGTTTCAAACACTTTACAAAGAGCTGGCAATAAACTTATTGGTCGACTATTAGCCCCACTAAAACTCTGCTGCATTTTTCTGTAAAGGAATAACCTTTGCTTCTTTCCAAGCTAATAGAAAAATCCCTTCATTAATACTCACATAAAAAATATGACTGGTTCTGTCAAACAACTGGCCACTAATTTTACAAGGCGACCATCTAAGGCAGGGGTGTCCAAACTCGGTCATGGAGGGCCGGCATCCTGCAGATTTTAGTTCCAACTTGCTTCAACACACCTGCAAGAATGTTTCTAGAATGCCTAGTAAGAGCTTGATTAGTTAGCCCAGGTGTGTCTGATTGGGGTTGAAACTAAACGTTGCAGGACACCGGCCCTTCAGGACCGAATCTGGACATCCCTGATCTAAGGTATCCCTTCCCAATGGTTTATTTATATTTATCATTAATGATTTTTGTTCCACTTTTTCTTTTTGCTCCAATTTTATTTTTTTTTTTTGTTGGGAAAACATCTTATAAAGGTTTACAACCACGTTTTAATCATCATTTATGGGTGAATTATCCCTTTTAAGGGTATAGGGGCGATTACAACATGAATTTGTGTACCCCTGGTCCAACAGTAAATTCTGTCACCGAACTTTTATTTTGCCAAGTTGTCCTGAAACCCTTTTTCAGTTTCTTTGTTTATTTAAAAATAGGTCTAATCTATATTTTTTTGATTAAGTCCACGGCTTTCCTTTTTTATTCCTTCAAAATGTGCTCAATTAAGTGACAATCCACAATATATTGTTTATTTAGTTTCTATGATTAAAGATGTAAAAATGGCTCACTATTAAATCTCCCTTAAGTGGTTATAAACCCTAATGATTTTCTTTCTTCTGTTGAACACAAAAGAAGATATTTTGAAGAAAGCTGAAAACAAATGCTACTTCAAAATATCTTTTTTGTGTTCAGGATGAAAATCAAACAGGCTAATAAGAGCCGTTCCTTTGAATTCAGTCCGAAATAAAACACCAGTTCCATAGCTGAGCATGTGCCATGACATAAGGCAAAGCAGCATTTCCTGCATAACTCCTGAATGACATGGAGTGGCACTAGCGTGTTGTGTCAGAGAGCTGGGAGTTACAGCACAGACCTCACAGGCTGATCGTGCTGCTCTCCGCAGACACAGGGGGCTTTGTTTGCATTGGCATGGCATTGGGGTTTGTCAACTATGAGGCCTGCACTTCATGCTGTAGACCTGCCAAACCTACAGATCATAAATAAGGTGGCGCACTGTTTACACTCACTGAGTATACAACCATCATTTACTCAAGTGTCTGCCAATCAACACCCAACACATTGAGGATTTAGAGAAGCTATTGAAATGATATGTCAGGAAGCTTGGAAATACATTGGGCTTCAAATTCGTATGTGTTCTTGGAGTTTATATATGAAATTGATTATATATATTTTTATATTAGGGGTGTCACGATTTCGATTTTTAATCGAAATCGATCGAAATTTATGCTCAATTTTGATTATCGAATCAAAAAATTTAATCGTTGATGCTGCCACGCCCCCATGTCACGTCAGCTTGGCTTGCCAAGCGGGAAAAAAACAGGCTTGTTGAAGTGCTTGTTAAACTGCAGAAGCAGGAGACCCGTCGACAGAACTCAAACCCTCTCCTCTTTTAATGAAGTCGCCGGTGTGTAAGCATTTTGGATTTCTAGTGAGATATGTCGACAAAAAAAACAACACAGTTTTGCAAGCTCTGCTATGTACGTATTACGTACGGTTCGTCCGATAGACAACACCGGCATCGCGATCCTCCGCCCGTCCCCGTTGCAAATCCGCTCGCGAAAAGTACACACTCAGGCCCTGTTTACACTGTCTTTGTTTTTAAATGGCATTTTAGAACGACAACAATTTGACATCCACAGTGGCGTGTAGCATTTCTGAGCAGCCCTTCTTCCTCTCTACCTCTGAAAATGCACATCACGTGACCACACAGTCACAGTATGCGCTCGAGACAGCAGGTCCAGGCAGTCAGAGGACTGCTTCAATCTTTCACTCACTTGTACTTAGTCATTTTAGCGCACACCTCAGATACTGTTGGCTGGTTCCTGTTGGTTGTGCGTCTTTTTTAACGACGCCATTATAATGACACAGATCACTGCCTATTCACGAGTCCCGCAGAAAAAGTGATTGACAGGTGGTAATTATGTGTGTATCTTGCCTTTATTCATTTACTGTATGATTTGTTTATGGGTAAAACAAAGACCATGCAGGTCAGGTAGTTTAAACGGTAGGCTACAAATAATTAATTGGTCATTAATTAATTATTCATAATCGAAAATCGAATCGAATCGTGCCTTTAGAATCGAAAATGTAATCGAATCGAGGATTTGGAGCAGGGGTCACCAATCCTGGTCCTGGAGGGCCGGTGTCCCTACAGGGTTTTGCTCCAACTTGCCTCAACACACCTGCCTGGATGTTTCAAGTATACCAAGTAAGACCTTGATTAGCTTGTTCAGGTGTGTTTGATTAGGGTTGGAGCTAAAATATAATAGGATATAATAGGAACAAGTTTGGTGACCACTGATTTGGAGGATCGTGACACCCTTAATATATATATATATATATATAGGATATATGTGGCGGGGTAGCATTAGTAAATGCTGTATATTGATACCTCTCGAGTCCTCTATCGGGTCTGAGTCTCTCGTTCATCATGAGCCAATCACACGCGTTTAGAGCCGGAAAAAGAATTGATCCATTCATCTCTCGAGCCCTTTATCGTGTCTGAGTCACTCGTTCCTCACAGGCCAATCATATGCGTTTAGAGCCGGAAAAAGAATTGATCCGTTCATCTCTCGAGTCCTCGGGTCTGAGTTAAGGCTGATTTGTACTTCTGCGTCAAACGCACGCGTATGCTACGGCGTTGACGCATAGCCCTTCACCGTGGCCGTTGGCGTCGCTGACATGCACCTCTCAAAAAATGTAACTACACGTCGCAACAACGCGTAGCGTAAGCTCTGTGATTGGTCGGCTTGGTATCGCTTGGGAGCGATTGTTTACAAGTGTGGAGTCCCGTGAAGGAGCTCCGGATGGAAAGTTTTGTTTTGTTTTTACCTCATAGTTAAAGCTGTTGCACCTCTCCTGGTTCCTGCCTCAAAATGAGCGAGTTTGAGCCACTTGAACATTCTGGAAGTGTTCAGGAAAAGCAAAACAGCAGCGAAGAAACTCGACACAGAGGAGCATTAACACCTCACTGCCCACTAGCGTTTCGGAAGTGTAATGCAGACCAACAGAGACAGCACGCAGAAGTATAAATGCACAGCTACGGGCACTGCATGCGCCGTGGGTTACGGTGGTCACTTGACGCAGAAGTATAAACCAGGCTTCACTCATTCCTCACGGGCCAATCATACGCATTTAGAGCCGGAAAAAGAATTGAACCGTTTATCTCTCGAGTCCTCTATCCGGTTTGAGTCATTCTGTCACGTGATAAACGAACGATCATGGCTCCTATCGGCTTAGACTGTGCATTGATTAAGATTATATGTGACTGTCAGTGTAACGTAAATGGACCCCTGACATTTGAAGACATAAAGAGCTAAGCAAAGAGACAAAAATGCCTTCATTGACAAAAGAGCAGGTAAACATTGAATTATTATTTTTTCCTTCTTATATTCTACTTATGACTTATGTGATGTGTTTAGAACCAATTCGTAACATTTTAATAATATTTTGGCAAATTGAATCAAATGAACGAAATGACTCGAAAAAAGATTTGTTCGTCTTGATGAACGAGACTCAAAGATCCGAGTCAGTCCCATCACTAGTTCCCACGGCTCTCAGCCTTGCCCCCTCGCCACACTGACGTTCGCAAAGTTTTTGTGTGTATGAAGCGTTGATACATGAGGCCCCAGATCTGTTTTTACATTACTGTAACGGTTGGGTTTAGGGTTGGGGTAGACGTTAATAAAAAACAATTAATGGGTAATTTAATAAATAATATAAATAATTATAGTTAATTATGGCTGCAGCCATATATGATCTATAGCTGATTAACCATGTGGAGGCATGAAAACCGCCTTCTGAGCATATTCCTGTAGGCGCCGAAGGCCCCTACTGGCCCATATCTATCAGCTGATAACCACTGATACCGCCCATTTAATCGAGTGCTAACATTCAAAGTGGCTGACCTCGTACTCTGTCACTGTAGCATTGTAGATGTATGGCATTTTAACTCAGGCTTTGATTTTCTGCTTTCTGCGCTGCTGAAGGAGGTCTTGACAAACCCAGCTGTCTGCGATCCATCTTAAACTCATATAGTGTACATGCATGTTAGTGCATAAGATAAGGAGTAGCACAATAAGCTCATTTTTGTGTCATTTCAATAGAACTGTAAGATTTCTTGGTTTTCCTGTATGCAGATGTTTACTGTTCTCCTTTTTCTCCCGTTCACAGTCTCTTATTTTCGATGAGGTGGACCTTTCAGATGCCAGTGTTGCCGAATCAAGTACAAAGAATATCAACAACAGTTTCACGGTAAGAGGCCATTTCCAGGAATGCTGCAAATATCCACAATATACAGCAAATATTAAGAGAGTACATTATAAGTGTAACATTAACTACAAGACCACCAGATTCTACAAGATCACGCTGTTCTCATAGCAACAAGTGAGCCAATTCTACAAGCGCTGTGGTCAGGGGTGTCATTTTTCTGTTGGTATTGGCTTGAAATAGTTTCTTTTTAAAGATCATTTTGAATGTGTCGTTCATCATCTGTTTCTTTTCTATGACTCACCAGTAATGATTTCCATATGTTTATCAGGTATATTTATGTTTTGTTGTACACTATTGTTATTATTAGAAATGTTTCATAAGAAGTGCTGTGTAATAATGGGTTCAACACTGCTGCATTTATGTGAGCACCATCATGTAGTCGGATATTTTTTTTCTAACACATTCAACATATGCAATTGTATTGTTTGCTCATATTTGTTTTGAATATTTATATTTTAATTTATTGGTCAGTGAATATAAATAATACATTTTGGTGCATTTGAGACAGATTTATTAAACAGATATAATTATTAAAATAATATTTTTAGTCACCAAACATCTTTAGAAATGAAAGGATAATACACCTAAGTTCAAGTTTAAACCACAACATTTTAACAAAATGTGTTTATTTTGTGTTTCTCTTGATTTTTCTTTCTTTTTTATTTAGCATTTTCCCATAACATACATTTGGGTGTACTAATTTTTGGACTGTATTATAAGTTTTGTTATCATAAGATTGGGCTTCAGTACTGACTAATCTAATGTCTAGGCACAGATATATTATTATAAAGCATCATATAGAAAATATAAAAAACGAAATATTATATTATATTATATTATATTATATTATATTATATTATATTATATTATATTATAATATATTATATTATTAGAATTAAGTCAATGCAATTAAATATTATTATTATTATTATTATTATTATTATTATTATTATTATTTATTTTTGTGACTAAATATTATATTCAAAATCATTAAAGTTAAAGTTAGCATTAAAGTCATCATTATTGGCTTAAATTTTATTACAGTTTTTTTACATTTATATTATATTTTAATCGATTTTTATTATAATTGATCTCTCTATATTGGTTTTTCCACAATGAACAATGTGCATTTCAAGTAATATTTAGTCATATTTGTTAACATCATAAAAAAGTTGTTATTTCTTGTTAACTTACAGTGGATTAACCAATGCTAACAAGCACAACTTTGGATTTTAATAATGGATCAGTAAATGCATAACAATGATTAATAAATTCTGTCTATGTATTAATAAATTAATTGTTGTTTGATATTAGCTCATGTAAGTACAGGGGTGGCCAACCCTGTTTCTGGAGACCCACCTTTCTGCAGATTTCTGTTGCAACCCATATCAAACACACCTGCCTGTAATTATCACGTGGTATTTAGGTCCTAATTAATTGGTTCAGGTGTGTTTGATATGGGTTGCAACTGAAATCTGCAGGAAGGTGGCTCTCCAGGAACGGGGTTGGCTACCCCTGTGTTAGTAAATAAAATAATTTCTGGACCCTTTTTGTAAACTGTGACTGTTTTCTCTCATAAAGATACAGCTAAATTTTGGTAACACTTTACAATACAAGACACATTCCAAAACTAACAAATGTAGTGTGTATAAAAAAAGTAGTGTTTATGTAGTGTTTGAAATCAAACTTTCTTAAAAAACAAAACCAAAAAAACAAATTTTTTTCTATTGAAGGTGCCTTAAACAGTACATGTAACAGTACAGCCTTAAACATGACTTGTATTTTGATTATGGTAGACAGGCTTTAAGGAAAACTAAAAGAGTGAAGCAGGCAGCCATGCATGAGCACAGAGTGTTTACAGCTTGTCAGAACACAAAAATCAGGATATACAGATTTGAAAATTATTCAGCGCCAAAGACGTCTATTTAAATGTAACTTTTGTGACTTTAACATTGTGAAACGTGGCGCGTATGTTTGCAATGAGGCAACAGACACATGTAAACTGCTGAATATAATGCTTATGCATGGTGTCATGTCACTCTGCTCTTACTGTATATTTTTCTGGACTGAAAGGATGCTAACAAACTTCGTATGATTTATCTGTTTATGCAGAGGTTGATAATAAATACTGCCTGTGTTTCATAAACAGAACACAAAATGCAGGATTTAGAGATCATAAATGTATTTAGTGCCAAAACCATCTGTTCAAATTAATATTTAATTTTTTTATATTTTTATATTTTATAATTTTATGTATATTTTCAAATTTGCAGTGTATGTTTGGGATGAGGCAACAGACACATGTAAACTGCTGTGTCTAAGGGCTCTATTTGAACAATCCAGGTGCAAAGTCTAAAGCGCATGTCGCAAAAGGATTAGGGGTGTGCCCGAATCCACTTTTGCTGTTTAAGGAAGTAAAAATACAGTTTGGCCTCTTTACTTTCCCTTTACTCTTTACTCCTTTTCTTTCGTAGATAAGGAAATGGTGTTGTACGCACTCCACTGAAGACATCCATTAGCCTACATATTTAATTTTGTTTGTTAAGTGCAAAGATTTGTTTTAAAACTATTCCTAAATTCAGTTTTAATTTCCAGCAAGCGAATAAATTAACAGTTATAACCAAGTGTGAGAAACTGAATTATATTCAAACAGTCTTATGCACTCTTATAACCTATTCTTATGCCCCATATGGTGATGCATACGTCTCCATCAATCAAATATTAAACAAATATATACATGCTTATAAAATAATACTGCTGCTAATAATAATAACATTTATAATTTATGTAGAAAATAATTGTTTTTATTATATTTTAATCTTTAATTTTTTTATATGTAAAAGAGATTAATGTATTGCTGTACATCCTGTGTGTATTAAGCAATGTGTAAGTGTTTTGACCTGCATAGGAGCATAACTAACAGGTTCTGTGCTTGACTTTAGACCAGCTTTTAGTTGGTCAATGGCGCAGTCTATTTTAGTTCCTCAACATAGCAACGCGCCAATGCGCCTTAACACAACTCCTTTTCAGACCGGAACACCCATGAGTGCACAAAGTGGCGCAAAATTTGCTATTTAAGCAACGTGGCGCAAAGCGTAAAAATTAAACGTAAAAATAGCAACAAATCACAATTTACACATCTTAATTCTTTATTAATGCACATTCATACATGGTGTCATATCACTTTGCTCTTATTGTTTATCTTCTGGGCTGAAAGAACGCTAACAAGCTTCATAATACTTGATAATAATCACTGCCTGTTTCATATACGTAAAAGCTTGAAAATACAACTATAAATACAACTTTGTTGTCGTTAGGGTTGTAACTTGTTGAATTTTTTACTGTATGATAATCGTCTAAAACAATACCACGGTTTGACGGTTTCGCGGTATACGATATGTTACAAATGTTACAAAATAATAGAACAGTGAAGCAAATTTGACTTTTTCCAAATAATATATTTTCAGTTACTATAAACAACACCACTTACAATGAACAAATAAAAAAATAAGAAAATAATAAATAATGTTTCAAAGTCCAAATAAAGTCCAAATAAACATGGTGCAAATCCTCAGTAAAAAAATAGATATAAATATTTACTATACTATAAATGGTTACATAACGAAACTAGATTCAATATGGAACATCCTTAGGTTTTATGTGCCAGCATGGATATGGTTGTCTGTGGATATGGATTTGGATATGGTTGTCTGCAATGCAGACAAACAGCTGCACCTTCATTTGCGTCTTTTGAAAACAGCAAGAGCAGCAGTTCGTCTTTGCTGTGTCACTGTTTTGTCATGTTTCTGTGCTGCTGTGCATGCAAAAGTACTTAGTATGAGAATTATTTCATGCAAAACTTTTTTTTTTGCGTTTTATTTAGCCGCGCATAAATGTATGCCTATCTCTCATTCCGTGTTGTTCAAAAAGCTCATTGTTGGTCCACAAACAAAAGCGAAACCTATGCTTATTGGTTGTGATATAGCGAGTTTGAACCAATCTGGGCATGGAGGAGGGACAATGCATCAATGTATCATGTCTGGTTTGTCCGGAGACACAGTGACGAGCGTTTCTTTGTCAAATCAGCGTTGTCAAATTTTGATGACGTAACCGCACTGATTCTGGAGCCTCTGAAAGTCCGAATGTTATGTGATACAGCACTGGAAAGCTGAGATTCTCTTCTTTATGCCAATCTTTGAATTGTATGAATCGGATCAGCGGATCAAAAGTTATTAAACATTAAAGAGCAATACTTATTTTTAGCCGCAGGCGGCTGTCTCGGCCTTTAAGGGTTAAAACCGTTGATATGCAATTGTTCATGGTATGATAATCGTGCACGTTCAAATCGTGGTAGACCGTCATACCGGTAATTGTTACAACCCTAGTTGTCGTGTATAATTATAATTTAGCCGATAGCCCCTTTCACACATACAGACCTTTCCGGAAAATGACCCTCAATTTAAATTTGTTCCGGCAATTTTCCGGAAAGATAAGTTGTAACATTACTGGTAATTTACCGGAATGCTGTGCTGTGTGAACACAGAAGGAAGATTGCTGGAAAAAGGGTGGTCACGCTTAGAATGCGCTTAAGTGAGACATCTATTCCATCCAATCAGAACAATCAGACGCATTTACATCTGCACTGTTTATGAAAATAAAAGCTTTTGAATATTTTTTTCAGGCACATTTAGCTGCTAGATGTTAGTTAAGTAATGTTTCTATGTCCCTTCTTTTACACATAGCCCAACTGTGCCAACTGTGTTAAAAATTATCGATAAAATGCTTATGAAAAACAGCTGTTTGTTTACCTTCAAGCTCTGCTTGACGCGGGTACACGTGAAGTGCAGGAGTGCTCTGGTGAGTGCCAGCTCACCCATACTAAGTACATCTTGACATGCGAAGTTGTTCCTCCATATGTTTTCATCGAAGTCGTACACAATACTTATTCATCCACAGAATTTGTAATGTTGTCATATGCGTAA